TAACGAGGAAGACTGAACTGAAGGAAGACTGAAGACTGAATATTCTGAGGGTAATAATATAGTGCAGGCTGGATGGTAACTACCTAAACCCGTGGTCAAACTCGCGGTCGTATAATTGTAGACAAAATTGTCTGGAGGAGTGGGAGAACTACTTGGAAACTGCGGACATGGACCACAGAGAAATATTTATAAGGTTACAAATTTACCACAAATGGAAACTTCATCAATGGTCTTAAAAAGAAATTGGACAGACATTCGAACAAGGATCAGCCGGGTAAATTAAAAAGTGACGAATTCTGGGCTTACACATGTGAGAGCACCTACATACCCAGATTTTCTTTTTGCTCGTTTTCATTGTTTTTTTTTTGGATAAAATATGACACAACTAATTCAATTTGATGAACGGATGGAAAAGCCCCCCCCAAAAAAAAAATCAACGCCTGCGGCTCAGGGCATGTATTTTGCAAGCGTGTTGGACGGAAATTAGAGAAAACAAAAGAAATCATTGACTGGGGAATTAAGGAGTGACGAATTCTGAGCTTGCAGTTTCCACTTATTTTGAGAAAGCAGTTCCTATTTGTTCGGATTTTCTTGTCCACTTTTATCATTTCTTTCAATAAAATATGACTGAAATTAATCCCAATTAATGAATCAATGAGATAAAAACAATGAAAAATCAACACCAAAGAGCAAATAGCATGTACTTTGCAAGAAAGGTGAAAGAAAACAGTAAAGGCACCCTCTATAAACACCATGAAGTAAAGGGCAACAGCACACGACGCGTCGCGTCGTGTCGTGCGTCACGTCGTGCTTCAGGCGACGCGATGCACGACACAATGCACGACGCGACGCACGACGCGACGGGCGACGGAAGGGGCGACGTTTAGGCGGCAAAAATGTAACATGGAAAATACCTAAAGTAGCACGACGCGACGCACGACGCGACGCGTCGTGTGTGTACAAACGTAATGGCAAGAAGGCGACGGTGTGACCCGACGGCACGACGCAAGGGAGCCATCGTGCCGTCGCGTCGTGTAGTTGCGTCGCCTGGAGGGAGGCTAAAGAGAGAGAGAAATGTTTGTCGTAAATAGTACACCATATGAAATAGCACCCTGGGTTTTCAATCGAACTGGTGGAAATGTTTTGGCAATTTTAACCCATATTTTTGATTTTTTAAAGTTTTAATGCAATGTGCACATTCACAAGGAAAGCTGTGATTGCACTGAAGGCAATCTCAATGTTGCAAATGCTCGGTCAATTTTAAATGTTTTTATCGTGTAACTCTTGCAACTCAAAAAGGATGTTAAACAGTCTTCATACATCAAAGAAGAGTGCAGAGATACACAAAAAGTGCTTCCAAGTAAACCTCATTTTATGGATCCTTTAATTAAAACGGAAACCCTTAGCTGACTAATGACGCTGAGGTGAACCAATTTATGTTCAAACATTTTAAGAGTAATGTGTTAACCGACACGTTTTATTGAGACTAAGAACAGTACTAACTCAAGGCTAATAGCAACGGAAAACTTAAGTGCAAATAATATTTGTAAGTGTACAAAAACATTTTTGAAAGTGAACAAATACGTAAAGAGTACATAGCATACCAGAAAATGAAAAACAATAAACCCCAGAATATGAAAACAAACTGCAATCGAATCAGACAGAATTTTCATTACATCGGTTATCAGCTTTTCAAACAAACAAACAAACAAACAAACAAACAAACAAACAAACAAACAACCCCAACAAACAAACAAACAAACTCCAGAATCTGTGTTGACTATAAATAACAGATGTAATAGGTTTCAGTTTTGTAAATATAACCATTTTTCTTTATAACAACACGAAAACATTGAAATCAGGAAGGTTAGTTATTTTTACTTTTCAAACCTCTCTAGCTCAGGACAACCAGACGCTAAAACCCAGGAATACTTCCTTTCCCTGCCTTTGTTTCGGATGTATAATTATGAAATTTTAATTTAAATATCAGTACTACTTCATAAGTCAACACTTTCAATATTAAGAACATTCACTAACCAGACAGGTTCGAATGAGACTAAAACCAGCAATAATTTACAGCCAATAATAAGGGAAAATGGTGGTGCAAATGACATTTTTGATCCCAAAGAATAGTTCTGAAGTTAAAAATTCATAAAGTATAAAATGTACTCAAAATGAAAGTACAGTTTGCAACCACCGAATACGATTGCAAACTTGACGTGAAATTAATACTGAACCTTGATATGCTTCAACCTGCAACGGTAATTAACTTTGAAGAACACAGAATATGAACTGGCTTGACAGGTTTCAGTTTCTTTACTTTCACTACTGTTAACAACTAAATATATCCCGAGTTTTACATGTACTGTGCAAGCATGAACCACACGAACATGTACATGTACGCTTCCTCCAACGGTCGAGAATTTCCTTGCACCTGCACATGCACGTGTACCACGCAGTAACAACCCGTAGTATACTGGATCGGTTTTGAGCATGTAAAACACAAACAGATCGCCCTGCGCAGAAGTATCAAACAAAACTCATGGAATTCGAACCAAAATATATAGCTGAATGTACATAGAACTGATTGTACCGTGTAGTTGAGATTCTGGCCCGTCGTATGCAGTGTCTCTCTGTTTTGGGAGAACATCTAAAATTGAGAAATTTTGTGGAAAAAGATGAAGTGATCGATTGAACATGGAAATAATTTATCATCTTAGCAACAACTTTGGCTAAATTTCAAACTTGTGTCGCGTTTTTCTTTTCCCAATTCTTTCGTGCTCTATTCGATTTAAGCCTTCTAGGGCAAATACAAAGAGTTTCAATCCGTTTATTAACTTTGTGCAAAGAAGTCTTCAAAACGAAAAGGCTCAACAGAGCATTGGCAAGTTGCTCAGGACATTTCCGTATGGTTCACGAGGGTCCGGCCGTGGTTCAAGTAACCGTGTCCCACGGTCGAAGTCGTTAATTTCCACATGTTAAATGGGGGTGAAACATACGTGTAGGGTGACTTGTTACGCCCCTTCCCTATACACCCACACACACACAATTTGCCTGCAACTGGGGACCCCCCATTGTTCCTCTTTTTTTTTACTTCAACTCTTTTAAAAGACCACCCATATGTTTTGTACACGATTGTCAGTCGGGGACCTTATTGTCCTCTATTGTTCAGGGTCCCCAATTGAATGCAGAAACAAACTCACACTTACTCTTAAAAGTAAAGCTTTTTCTCATGAATTGCATCTACTATCTACATGTATGTACATTTCCATGAAACCCATTACAAGGAATTATGCACATAGTCATCCGCACAGAGCCATTTTGACCCAGAATAAGTAAACTTTTGTTTTATTGTTTCATTTTTCATAAGGAACATGACCCAACACTGATCCGTTGTGGAAGAATAACAGCATACATTTAAATACCTGCAAGGACTTTTAAAAAAGGAAAGCTTTTGAAAAAAAAAACCTGAGACTTTATTGATTAACCATCGCATCCTGCGGACACAATGGGGAGGACATATTGGGCCTGCGGACACAATGGGGCGGACATAATGGGCCTGCGGACACAATGGAGCGGACATATTGGGCCTGCGGACACAATGGGGCGGACATAATGGGCCTGCGGACACAATGGGGCGGACATAA